AATAGAATAGAATAGAATAGAATAGAATAGAATAGAATAGAATAGAATAGAATAGAATAGAATAGAATAGAATAGAATAGAATAGAATAGAATAGAATAGAATAGAATAGAATAGAATAGAATAGAATAGAATAGAATAGAATAGAATAGAATAGAATAGAATAGAATAGAATAGAATAGAATAGAATAGAATAGAATAGAATAGAATAGAATAGAATAGAATAGAATAGAATAGAATAGAATAGAATAATTACAGACGAAGGCCAAGAAATAAGTTACTGGTCTCAAAATCGATGATCACGTTTATTTTTTTAATATTTTTTTTTTTTATGAACCTAAATAATAAACATCTGTTTTGCACACATTTTTATCTGTTGTGTGCAATGACCAGAAACATCAATATATAATAAACATCTAATGACATTTGAAAACCAGAGAGATAAATCATCTTTCCTACCAAACATCTCTTCATCTGAAAAGACTGGACTTTTACCACCTGCATGGCCTCGTCCAGCAGCTTCTCTTGCTCCTCTTGTGGGGACAACTGATGAGTCTGTGGCTGTAACACACAAAATATCAACAACAGCTTAAACAACATGTGCCACAATATACTGTACAGGGCTGCTTACAAAATAAGAACAAGTCATGCTGGGAGTAAAACATTGTACTATAAGTGACAGGACACAAGCAGGGATTCTTTTAAACAAGGGAACAGGGGCTCAGCGCCCTCATGCCACGGCCATGCGCCCCCTTACCCTGGGGAGCAGATCCTCTGGCAACCATAAAATTCTGAATAACCAGGAATCACATGTGGCCACAGTCTTCAACTGTGACCTGTCGGATAGTAATTTTGGCCCCAAGAAAGCCATAGAATGCTCCATTTTAACTTAGAATTATAAAAAACTCCACACCCTGGTAGGGAGAACCCTATCTCCCCCACTTAGTGACACTGCTGAATTGCAGTGCTCCCTCCTGCAGTTTTTTTTCTAGAAAACCCCCTGACAAGCACAATAACACATACAAGTGCACTATGGATCTGTGGCGATAATAGAGCACTTTAAACACAGCTTTGATTTACTGGTCATTACATCACTGGGTCATACAAGGTAATAATCAAAGAAAGCTTAGAAAGAACTCCCATGTGCTGAGAGTATTGGAGACACATTAAATATAATTCGAAATTACTTAGCTGAAAACTAATTATGCAAATCAGAAAATTAATATGACCAGATTTGAGTGTAAAACTAATGAGGTCTGCGCAATGTAACAGAAAATCTATGTCTCCAAGTTTAATTGAAATGTGATTAGAACCAAAAAATTATGAATTATTATGCTTATTAGGGAATTAATATGAACAGATTTTTACCCCAAACTAATTAGGTTTGTACATTGTCCTAGAGCATCTTTGTACTAAGTTTCATTGAAATGGAATAATTAGCACCGTGAAAACTCCAAAATTTCGACCCCTCTAAAAATTTGACCGCCTATTTATTTGCCGGGTTTCGGTGTTTTATTCACCTCCAAATTTTCGACTCCACTAAAAATTGCCGACTCATTCTTATTCGAAAATTGCGACCAGTTTTAGTTTTCCCCCAAACGAAAAAAAAAACGATGTGAGCGTTCAAACGGGACCTTCCTCAAAGGCATGAATCCGGGTTTCTGATTGACTGAGAGATTTTTATTTTATTGGTAACGAAAATATATTCTAAATAAACGAAGTT